AAAAAAAAAAAAAACAAGAAGAAAATAAAAATCAAAAACTTGATGATCAATTGATTCTTCGGAGTTGTTATTCAACCATTTCCTTAATTGCTGTTATCGATTTTAATCATAATTATCCTTCATAATTACCTTCGACCTTTCCCATAGCAAGCAATAGTAACAGTCTTGATGGCAGGCCCAAGCCCAAGCAGCAATATGAAAATATGCCCATTTCAATTCAGCAACGAGGAACCAGGTGAGGTTGAGTATGACTACAACTGTCCCTCTCTCTCTCTCTCTCTCTCTGGATATCTGAGGAAAATCAACAATACAAAATCCATCAAATTATTCTCGGTAAAAAATACTTTATGATATTTTCTCGTAAATTCTTTTATTAAGGAGATAATTAAATACTTGATAAACATGATTTCAATTTTCTAGCTCATTAAATTCTTAATAAAAAGTGCATCCATCAGCAGCTTTCCTCAAAGGAGCCTTCAAAAAATCCTCATCCTTCCCGCCCCCTACAATCCCCCAGAACTCCCTAGATCACCCAAACGAACGTATGTATTAGCATCCCCCTCTCGCTTCGCAATTTATCTTCCGCGGTCTGTTTACACAATTTCCTGAGTGTTTCTCGCGGCGTTCCTTAGCCCCCCAATACAATTCGCGTCCACCGTTCATTATCTCCACCTCGGGCCGCAAGAAAAAAAACCCTCCTGTCTCTAAAAAACTGGCGTTGCACTCCCAAAAATTCCTGAAGCTCTCGAAATCCCCTGAGCCTCCAGAACCTCCAGAATTTGCCGCATCTCGCGAGAATAGTTTCGTGAAAATGGGCGCCGATCGCCTGTCTCTCAGTGAGTGAATCCATCCCTCGGTGATCCCAAACAAGTGCACAACCCCCGAAAATGTCCCTCAGCCCCTGGAAAATTGGCCTGATTGTGCCCCTAACAATTGCCTCCCTGATATGTGTTGAGAATGCGGGAACTTCGGGACTGGACATGACTGACGAGCTGGAGCATCACGGGAGATGCGAGCCGATAACGATAAACCTGTGCGTGAACCTCCCGTACAACCAGACGATGATGCCCAACCTCCTGAAGCACCAGAAGCAGGAGGAAGCAGGTCAGTTTTTCTCCGAAATTTTTTATCTTTTTGCGGTAGATGAGTTTTATGACTTTTTTCAGCAAAATTTGGAAATATTCATCGAGAATGATTTAATAGATTGCCTTCTTACTTAATGAGTAATCCCTTGAAACTCCCTGTTGAATAATAATAAGATTACACATTAAACCCCAACTGAATTCAATGTCTCTCAGGTCAGGAAGTCCATCAGTACGCGCCTCTAGTGAAAGTAGACTGCAGTCCCGACCTCAAGTTCTTTCTCTGCCTGATGTACGCACCGGTCTGCACGATTCTCGAGAGGCCCCTGCCCCCATGTCGCTCGATCTGCGAGAGGGCGCGTGTTGGTTGCGAGGGGATCATGCGGAACTTTGGCTTCCAGTGGCCCCCGAGTCTCGATTGCTCGAAATTACCGGAGTACGGGGAGGACCCCGAGGTGCTGTGCGTGGGGAACAACGAGACGAGTCCGAGAATCTCCACAACTATCCAGCCACCCCTGAGGGTGCCACTACCTGAGTTTCAGCCATCGTGGCACGGGCTGAAGCCCTATGGGGACCTCCTGGGGGCCCGGGACCATGGCTTCGTCTGCCCAATTCAGTTCAGTGTTCCTGAGGAGCATGGCTACTCCCTCAAGGTCGGTGGCAAGGTCGTGAGAAACTGCGGGGCGCCCTGCGATGGCATGTTCTTCTCGGAGCAGGAGAAGAGGTTCTCCAGGGCGTGGGTGGGCACGTGGGCTGCCCTCTGCGCTGGCTCATGCTTCTTCACCTTCCTGACGTTCCTCATTGACACTGATCGCTTCAGGTGGGCTTCAAAAAAAGCTTTTTCAAAAATAATACTATTATCATCCATTATTCATTAAGATAATAATTGAATAATTTTCTTGTTGTAAAGAAAGCTTCTTGAAGCTTCTTGAATTGTCAATTTGATGAATTTTCCTCAGATACCCAGAGAGACCAATAATATTCTTGTCAGTCTGCTACCTGATGGTGGCCCTGGTCTACGTTGTGGGATGGGCATCAGGGAACACAATATCATGCAAAAAACCCTTTCCCCATCCCCCCGATGTCCAGGTCCAGATGGTGTCGACAATCACCCAAGGGACCAAGCACGAGTGGTGCACACTGTTGTTCATGGTTCTCTACTTCTTTGGAATGGCTTCTAGTATTTGGTGGGTCATACTCACCCTCACCTGGTTCCTCGCTGCTGGACTGAAATGGGGACACGAAGCCATTGAAGCTAATTCACAGTATTTTCATCTTGCTGCTTGGGCTGCGCCCGCCATCAAGACTGTTACTATTCTTGCTATGGGAAAGGTCGAAGGTAATGATAATCACTCCAAAATAAGACGAGACAGTTTTTGTTTTATGAATAATTGGCCAGAAAAAATATCTTGTGACATTTCAATTTCTCCCCCAGGTGATATCCTGTCAGGCGTCTGCTACGTGGGTCTCTGGAACGTTGAAGCCCTTCGTGGTTTCGTTCTGGCCCCCCTCTGCGTGTACCTCGTCCTGGGAACAATATTCCTTCTCGCTGGCTTCGTCTCCCTCTTCCGCATCCGCACAGTCATGAAACACGACGGAACCAAGACTGACAAGCTCGAAAAACTCATGATTCGCATTGGAATATTCTCAGTTCTCTACACAGTGCCAGCCCTCATAGTTATCGCCTGTCTCTTCTACGAGCAAGCCTACTTCGATCACTGGATGCTCACCTGGAACATGGAGATGTGCTCGAGACCACTGCCACAGTCACTTTACTCCATTCCCTGTCCAGTGGGTGAACGCACCAGGGATGTGGGTTATCGTCCTGAGTTCGAGGTCTTTATGATCAAGTACCTCATGGCCATGATCGTGGGCATCACCAGCAGCTTCTGGGTGTGGTCCAACAAGACTTTGACCACCTGGAGGCAGTTCTTCAATCACATACGGGGACGACGTGTCGAGGCTTACGTGTAGCATTATTAAGGATGATTATTCTTCAATTGTTTTGGAATTGAAAAGAAAAAATGCTCGTGAAAAAATTTTTTTGCATACAACTTTTTTCAAGAGAATTTCTCTGATTTAGAGATATTTAGCAAAAAATGTTTGGCAATTTTTTTTTTCTCAACAATGTTCGACTGGAGACGATGAGAGGACGGTACTCTCTCTCTGCTGTCTTTTAATTATTCCATCCATTGATGGAATCATCAGGAAATGGACCAAATAATAATCTGTTCATTTTTAAAGAAAGACTCAAGTGAAAATAATGTCATCAGTCATTTTATTAGAGTGTTGTCCTCGAAATGTCGTCAATTACACGATTAAATAGACAGAAATGATGATTTTTGCTAAATCTCAAAGCAGAAAGTGAAAGTATAGATGCAAAATTCGTGATTTTTGAATATTAAATTGTATTATTTAATTACGCTCACTATTAAATACCAATTAAGTATCTAGGATTTTTTAAATTTCAATAAGAATCTCAAAATTTCATTGGTCCAATAATTCTATAACTCAGCTCAAATTGCTAAGTGGTTGAACGTGTTCAAAGTTTATGCATAATCTTCATACGTCCACAATCAAAATGTTGCTCATTTTTTGTTATTCGATCATGATTGTTTTTAACTCATTGACGAGGAGAATTTTTTTTCAACAGCTGATTTTACGATTAGTTTTTAATTTCGTGACTAAGTAACTAGAAAAATACTCGAGATAAGACTTTTATTGGAGACTAGGCTCGTCGAACTTTTGAAAATGTTTATAATAATAATAATAATAACAAGACTTTTTGGCTACTTGAGGTAGTTGATGAGACACATTGTATATAAATGCTTTAGTTTTGCTATGTATTATAATATTTTTTAAGTGTCATGCATGTAAATAATAACAATCTGCCATTTGACGTTGTGAGAATTGTCCTGGCACTTCACTGAGATTTAATTTGTCGTTTAGGTTATAGGTTAATTAATATTAGAAGAGTAAGAGAATGTTCATTAATTACAAAATTGGAAAAGGATTTATCTCTTGGAGATGGAGAAAAATGTCTTGATATTTTCTCCTAAAATCCTCAACGAGATAATTCCTCATTCAATCAACAAAGCTTGAAAAATTGAACTACACTTCTAAATTAATTCCCAATTGCTCATACAAATTGTATTTTTTCCTCCAATTAATTGAAAAATTAATTCCTATTCGTTAATTCTGAAAAATCTCAATTCGTCCATCAATACCATGTCGAGCTTCTTTGGTGTATCGTGTAAGTAAATACGCTTAACACAGTTGGAAGATTATATTCTAATCAAAATTGATAAATACAGTAATTCAAATATATTATATGAACAAAAAAAAAAAAAGAAAATATGTGGACAGTGTGCGTGTTCATGTTTCTGCACACGCAGAATGTCGTATGTTAAAATTAAACGTCGAACTGTGTAAAATTAATCATTATATTCTTTATATATAATAAAAATTCAGTACACAATGAATAAACAAACCAAGTGTCTTCCAAAACCTTTATTTTGTTGCAAAAATATCGTGTAAATCCCATTTTAATCTGAACCAATTCTTCAGTTTCAACAAATTTTCTCATTCCCATCTCACAATTTTAGTGCGATAGATCCAATCTCATGCATCAATAGTTTCATCACGTTTTGGGCATTTTCAGAATGCCAATTCTTCGAAGATATCTGACAATGAATGGTGTGGATGCCAGAGTTATCGATATTCTCACAGGGGCGAAGACCTTATGTACTGCGTACGCAACCAGAAATGTTGATGAGCCTGTCATTATAGTCTCGAGGCGTTCACTCGAGTTGGGGATAAGTTTGACGAGTGATGTGAGGTCTAAACCACTAAAAAAAAAGACACTGACCATTGAGATATTGGAAATGAAGAAAAGTCGTTGGACATTTGTTGTAGACAATCGAATTTCCCACAAATAATTGTGGGACTGTAGACCCTTCATTACTATGATAATACCAAAACAAAAAAAAAAACAGAGCCTGAAACGATTTTGAAATGTTGTTTTTTGTGATGACTGACCTAGAAACAAGAGCGTAGAAAGCACCAAGCGATAATAGTGAAATGCCTATGTGAAATACGATGACAGTGCTGCCATAATCCTTGACAGCCCTTTTAAGTTTCTCAGCGTTAGTTAATTTATTTTCATCAGTGGTATTCTCTGATATTTTTGGAGGTTCTGCTGCACTTGTTGAGTAGCAAGCCTTGATGATGGAACCTGAGAAATTACTATCCATCACCATTTTTTACTGGAGGAAAAATGGAAATGTTAATCTATTAATCTGTTATGCCCAATTAATTTATTAATGAATATTTCTGAGGAGAGATATTAGTCGAGAGGTGACGAGTCGCTTGAGAAAAATGGAAATATATTTTTTGTGGCTAGAAGACGTTTAGAAACACATTTAAAGGCATTAGACATTAAAAAAAGGAAATTAATGAAATTTCATACAGAATCCATGTTGAAACATTTGTTTTGTTTTATTGATACATGTTGAAAATATTTTTTTGTGAGAATTCAATTTCCCACAAAAAAAATTTTCATCATTTAGATCCTATAATCCTAAAAAATAGCACGAAAATCCTACTTTTACCACTTCCCAACTGATCTCAATTATGTAAAATTCAAAAAAAGATTAAAGAGTATCAATGTTTCATCATTAATAACAAAAAATTGATCATCAACATTCAACGCAGCGACTAATTAATCAATACCATCACCATCACCATCCTAATTACCATTTCCCCCCGATGTTTTAGAATAAAAATTCTTCCTGATGAAGTCATAGTGATTTTTCTGCATGTACTCAGCGATATATTTTCCATTCTGCACCCACTGCCCCCCAGGCATGTTCATGTGTGTTCCCCTTGCCGTGGACTTGCAAGGATGCGGTACATTGGTCTGCATGATGCCACTGAGACTGATTGCCCCAAAGCAGTCGTACGAGTCCACGTGGGAGTCCCAAAAGGTGCTGGTGCTGGTGCTGGTACTGGTGGACATCCAGGATGATTTGTCCCAGGTCTTGGTGGTGTTGGTGCCGTAAAGCATCATGGGGGTGGTGATGTCCCTGACCCTCTCCGGGGCGAATCGACCGGTCTCGTTGCTAAATATCTCGGACAGATTCCCCGGAAGAGGGAGGGCGGGGGCTTCGGGGTAACGACGAGCTCCGGAGAGATGGAAATTCGCTGGTCCCTGAAGGTCTGAGCAACGAGGATCGAGGGGTCTGCTGTTGGCCCTTCCCAGGGGAACATTCGCTGCAAGTGAGGGGTGGACTTTTTTTAATTACTCCAGAGGAGAGAAATGATGTTTCGCACCTGATTAAGCAATAAGCGATTTTTATTTTCTGGGGAAAGAGGACTGAAGTGAAAATAATCCATTGGTGATGGAGAAAAATGTCTTGACATTTCATTCATGTTTCTGCACACGCAGAATGTCGCCCCATTGTAACGATAATGATGATAAATAGGCAGCTCTAGCCGCTACAGTCAATGCTAATTAACAACCCACATAATTCTGAAAATCAGAAAAAAATAAACAACTTCAATTACCTCCATGATTGAGCCTCGTTAGTATGATCGGGAGGTCCTTGGAGCACCCGATACGTGTCAGAGCCATGTCTAATCCCCCAAATCCAATCCCTCTAGAAATTTACTTGCACTTGAAAACTTGTGACCAAAGTGACAGTGCAGACTGCACAATTACCTCATCCGAGGCGAGGCGGCTGGCTAGATGACCTCCAACGCTCCAACACTTCAACTTCACGTTATTATATGTACAAACAACTCCCTTCCCCCACGCCGCAGCCGTCGGCGAATGGCAAAGTCGTCTAACCAGTTTGAACCAGTTCTAGCGAGCGATCTGATACTTGTACAATATATTGAGGCACTTACTTGAGATGGCCAAGAATTAAATGAATTTTCCATTCAACGGACAAGTCATGAATTAAAGACAAGTGATGTCTTATTCAGGAAATGTCTTACCAGTCGACATTTTTAATGATGGCAGCACGGTGAAAGACGGCGGGATTATTGTCATTTTTCAAGGGTATTTACCAACTGTGCGGCGAGAATCGAACTGGGCATCGGGCAGTAGAAAATATAATAAGTTGAATCAGCCAGCGGACAAGTAAATGGACTATTAGCAACGCCGAAAAAAGGTTTTGTAAAATTTTTATTTTTTTATCTAATTAATGACTCAAGTACTTTAACGAGATTCGTGATGCCTGCGAGGTAATTGATGTCTAGGTTCTCATTCTCGGCTGAGAAGACGTGAGTAAAGTCGATCATTTTGACGCGAAGACAGTTAATTTCCTCGGGGCAGTCTCCTGTCAAGCGTGGATTAGTTTCATCATCAATTACAGAATTCTCATAAGAAGAAGATGAAGACAATTTTTTTTCTCCCAGTTTTCGAAGGCAATGAGCATCATACGCAATCAAAATTGAACTAGAATAAAATCTTAAACTCTTTTGCCTCTTGAAAAAGTCTTCAATTTTTTTCAACGAATTTATCAATTGATTTAACAGTATTTTATCAAGTCCCAATTTATGACTATTATCTCCTGCATTTAAAAATATTTCCAAAGCTGAAAAAAAATGGAATAAGAGAATGGAATAATATATAAAGTCTCGGGAGGGTGGAAAATCGCCGGTGTAAAATACAATGGACTACTATACTACCTTGGACAGTAGTTTCCTTATTCAACCTCTTTCCATAATCTTTGCCAAATTTTTTAAAATCCCTCGTTGACAAATCATAAACTTGAAATCCAGGGATGCAGAAGCCATAAGCTTTCTTGGACTCGACGTATTTCACTTCCTCAGCTGCTCGTTTCTCAATACTCGCTAAAGGATCCCACGTACGTTTACCTATTTTTATGTCCATTACACAGGGCTCAATCATACCAACAGTGATGTCCTCCAAAACAATAAATTGAATCCCTGAGCAATTCATCATTTTTATTTAATATAATATTTCAATCAATAATGCGAGTGATTTTTTAATTGTGCACATCAGCAACTCACTTCTCTTCCCCAATAGTAATTCTCTTGTACCAAAATATTTTGGAGTTAATGTCCGTAATTCATTATATAGTGATTCATCAGAATTTTTTATTTTTTCATAGAATGATACCTAAAATGTAACATGAAAAATGAAAAATTGTGGTTGAGAAAAGGCAAAAAAAAAGAGAGAGGAAAAAATTAATAAATTATAGTTTATTCTGTCACCTCACGCGTCTGAAGATCTTCCTTTTGCCCGGCTTTCAAAACACATCCATTGTTTGTTTCAATGATTCCTATAGCTCAAGTAGAGATGAAAGACAACAATCTAGTCGCAGATAGATGGGTAGAAAAAAACAAAAGAGAATAATACTCACGAATATTGTTTTTCGCTGGATCCGAATGATGTCCAGCAACTTGACTGGCTAACCAGCTCATTCCTGATGGTAAATTCATCATCATCATCATTGATCATACATACGTTGCGAAAAGAGATGTGTATCCAACTGATTCAATCAGAATGCGCCATTATTATATGCCTTTAAGGCGACACTCTATGAAAAATAAAAGCAGCCCCACCCCGCGCCACACGCGCGTGTGTGTGTGCTGTAAATATGTAAACATCTCAAATATAACCAAAAGATAAGTAAATCACATCCCAGACACAAAATAATCAACGACAATAAATAATACGAAAAAAAAACAACAGGAATAAATAAATGCAGGTAATGATAACGACATAGAGGAAATGATTGGTTTATTTATTAAATAATAATAATAATAATAATAATATAATATAATTGTGTCAGAAAGATGTGAAAATTTTATGCAGTCCATTTGAGGCATCTAGTATCGAGATGTGTTCCTAAACACCTAACAGTGCAATACCTCGCACCACAGGGTATGCATGTATAATTACTGGGAAAACCACAAACAGCGCAAAAATGTCTCTCAGGGAATTTAGATGGTGATGCTTGGGCACTCGAGTAGTTGGGTGGTGCTGGATTATTATTGGCATCCTCCTCTACTAATTGTGCAAAGCTCTTTCGAAAACGTTGTTTGTAGTACTCTGCTGAACGAGTCTTCTTCTTCCTTGGACCACGACCGTCTAGGGACTCTTGGAATTTGGGGACTTTCTTGCTCATTACTAAATTATGCAAAAATAATATCAATTTCAATTAGTTAAAATAATAATATATAATAATGCAAGAGAAATTGATGATAGCATTGAATGGCATTAAATACCTAAATCTGCATGTGGATCATCATGAAAATTATCCTGTTCCAAAGCCTCAAGTGCCTTCTTCTGCCTTCGCTTTCTTGCCGCATCATCAAGAACTCTCTTTTGATAAGCATCTTTAATTCTGCCAGATTCCCTCGCTGCCATCTCTTTCGTATTTCCTTCAAGTTTAAAACAATTCACAATCCCTTGTCAGCGAGTGGAAACGATATCTGATCCATGAGATCATCAACTTTAGCTTGCAGAGTCTCCAGAATATCAGCTGATATGAAGAGATGTTTTTCGTCGAGATCCTGAATTATAAATTTTCTTCCCAGGGCAAAAGTCTCGTCCAAGTGAAGGAGAAATTGTTTCATAGCTGCATCACTGAAAATTATCAGCCATCATCATCATGTCTAAACGTGTTACATTGGATGAGAAACGTACACGCATGCTCCAGATATTCCATGAGAGGGAGGATTTTTTTACACTCAAAGAAATTGAAAAAATTTCTTCACAGGAGAAGGGAATTGTTGTGCAGAGTGTAAAAGATGTATTGCAAGCATTGGTGGATGATGGACTTGTTAATTCTGCCAAAATTGGATCTGCTATTTATTTCTGGGCATTCCCCGGGTATCTATTAATTCTTAACCTACATTTAATATCATAATATCTATATTCTAATTAATGTCATTTGTCTTTTTCTTCAGAGAGAAAATAGTAGCTGTTGAACAACGAATTGCAGAGACAAATAAAGTTATTGTAGCAGCAGAATTCAAATTACAAAAACTCAATGCAGAAATGGAAACAATTTCGGTAAGTAATTTATTTGAAAATTTTCAGTCTACTACTATCCAATTAATGAAATTCATATTAAGGTGGCTAAGGAAGACACAGAGGAGAGACAGAAGGTGATCCAAGAGCTCGAACAATTGAAGCAAAAGGAAATTGAGTTGACAAAACAAATAGCAAATTTCAGTGATTGTGATCCTGAAATCGTTGAAAAAATCAACGAGCAAGCAAAGGTGCATCTCCATCATCATCACCTGAATTTTAATTCCATCATGACTTGTATAATTTTTCTCTAATTACAGCTATACAAAGAAGCAGCTAATGTATGGACCGACAATATATTCTCAATTCAGAGCTGGTGCAAGAATAAATTCGACATTTCAGAGGAGACACTCAACAAACAATTTCACATCCCAGAGGATTTGGATTATCTCGAGTAAAATACTCACCACTCAACTAAAATTCCCTTTGTGACATTCACCATTCCCATAATAGTTATTCTACGATATCAACGGGAATTGTTATTTATGATTATTAACCATAAGACCATATCAGTTTATAGGTTAAACTTATTGGAGAGAGAAAATGTTGCAGGTCTTGTTGAATTTCTCATCACCAGATGGCTGGTGTATCGTTAAAAAAGAGAGAGACAATTTTGTCCTTTTGACAAAATTGGATAAATTTTCCTCGAGAGATAATTGTTGTTTTTTTTGCCTCTCCAATAATTTACTAATGAATATAAAATTTTCGATAGTGTAATAAATTTGTTGGCAATCCATTCCATTCGAAATGTGAAAAAAAAAAACATCTGCCTCTCAGTCTCAATAAATGCTCATGAGAATTGCCCGAATGATAATGGGGGTCGGTCGGGGGGGCTGGATGATTTGGAACAACTGACGTGGTTGTGGTTAACAAGCAGTGGATGCCACATGTATGTGTGTACACGTAGAATAGTGAGTTTTAACATACACAACACTAAGCACAAGTGCAATCATGTTGAATGTTTGATGGGAAATAAGAGAAGGATAGGGTCAAGACGATTGACAGCTCAACTTCAGTACTCAGGACTCAGTATTGGTGAAGAATCATTAAAAATATTTCGTTGGTTCATTACGAATAATTAGTGAAAATGGTGTTATTTACAATGATTGCGAGAATAGCAGATGGGCTACCACTAGCAGCTACCATGCAGGAGGATGAGCAGGTTACTATAATATTATAACGTTAAAATAAGGATTATTTTTATGGTATGATGTAGTCGCATACTGAAAGGCTAATATGAAATTTTTTTTTTCGAAAATTCATTTAGAGTGGAAAGAGCATCCTTGAATATCAGAATCAGGCAAAGATGTTGTTCAGGAAGCTGGGTCCCCAGTCACCGGTTAGGTGTACTATCGAAACAGGGCCTTATCTTTTTCAGTGAGAGCTATATCTTCATTTCATCCTCTTTTAAATTCATTATATTTCATTACTAATTTATTAATTTATCAATTATTCATGGATTCTTAACAGCTACCTGATAGAGAACGACGTGTGTTATCTAGTCCTCTGTGAGAGAAACTGGAGCAAACGGTTAGCTTACAGTTACCTTGAGGATATCGCCCAGGAATTCCACGCACAATATGGAAAACGTGTTAATACTGTCACTCGTCCTTATACTTTCATTGAGTTCGATACATATATTCAAAAAGCGAAAAAATCCTACTCTGATGGACGATCGAGACGAAACATGAATGCTTTAAATAGTCAGCTGCAGGATGTCCAGAGAATTATGGTTCAAAATATTGATGATGTGTTGCAGAGGGGGACAGTCTTGTCAGGTAATGATTATTCTTTTTTCATCATTAATTTTATCAATTGATTTGTAAAATGGAAAATTGTCATTTCTTTTTTTTTTTTTTTTTCATTTCCAGAACTCGACACAAAGACCCAAAATCTGTCAATGCTTTCACAAAAATACAAAAAGAATGCAACCTATTTAAACAGCAAATCAATGTATGTTAAAGCTGTAGCTGGATTAATTGCATTTCTCGTTTTCCTCTTGTATTTCTTCATTCTCTAGTCTCTTGTACCACTTGAGAAACTGAATAATTGGTATGTTTATATTATTATTAAACAGAGATATTGAAGATACTTGTGCTGTGTGATGAGTGGGTGATGGATGATTTATAAATTTTGCGATAGCAAATCATTAATTAATAGTAAAGAATTAATTGTATTTAGAGTTGAAGATGGTTTTGTGAGCGGTTATCAATAAGAAAATGTTTTAATGAATAAAAATAATGGATATATATATAATTAATGTGTATCATGATTATAGTTATTTTGTTACAATTGTTAAAAATTGGTAATGATTAATTTCTTTTCTTCAAGATATTTTTCATATTTTTCATCAACTTTGGTCCATAGATTCATTCTCAGACTCCGATGAAGCGTTGTTGTTGAAGAAAAAGTTGACGGGAGACACTTGCTTTATAATCTTGTCTTTATGCCGGAGATTGTTACTTGTTGGATTTCTCCTTGGATTTTTCCAATAATTTGTCCTCCTATTCAATTTCAATTTCGTTTCAATCTCTTGTTGTTGTTGTTGTTCTTCTTCTTCTTCATCTGCATCTGAAGGGAATTAATATTACATTGACTTTAACCTGATAATTTCAATTGTCAGTCTCGAATTATTACAGAGGCAAAAAATAATATAAAACAATTTGTTATTTGTCATGTCCAAGTTTTTTTTTTAATTTGAGTGACAAGTTTTCTCCACTTATTAGCTATTTATGGAAATACATTACCTGAATCAATAGTTTCAAATATATGTGCATGATCGTTCAGAGCAATATAAATAATTGGAAATTCAATGATGGTTTTGTTGGCGAGATTTTCTTTGAGACTCTCTGTAACATCGAGTTGATAAAATCTAGAATCAGATTTCTTCACTTTCTCAGCCTTTAGAAATACTTTAATTCCACTTAGACCAGATGAACAATAGAACTGAAGCTTATCAGCAACAAGTTCTCTCTCTTTCATATCGTCAGCTGTTACATTATTAGAATTCATCAATGGATCTAGTATATTGTCTAGTAAGTCCGATAATCGTGAAGTCTCGAGAGCTCTTTGTGTCACACATTTGGTATTCTCAGCTTGAGGAAATATCCACTCTATCCTCCAAAATAATTCATTAGTCTTCCAATTGAAAAATGTTGTATTTTGTTTGTGCCTGGAGAAATTTTGAGGCATGAATTCTAGTTGCACTTTGCTCTTAGTTGCTGCCTGCCTCAATTTATGCAAATGCTGTACAAGAATAAAAATTGAAAAAGATGAAGAAACAATTAAATAGCTATATAATAATAAAATGATTTAATCAAGCACAATTACTGTTGGTAAATTATGGAATCGTCCATATTTTTTGGATTCATCTCTCTGCAATTGATCAACTGATCTTCCCACTTGTTCGAGCAATCGATAATCTAAATTAATCAAATGGATAATTTATTGAAAATATGAAAAAAAAAAAAACAAACAATGTTGATGGGTAAATAGTAATAATTAATTTATTTACCACTCAGAAGATCCAAATCAGTAAATTGTTTCAAAGGCACAAATTTAGTTTTGTCACGTATGCCACTACAGTCGAGCTCCTTCTTATGGATATTTACACATTTGAGAGAGCAAGTTCTAACCTCGCACTTGGGACAGGTATATTTGGCACTAACTTTGGCACATACCTCACAATTTTCCAATCTAAGTAACATTGAAAAACATAATAAAATTGTAATATTATACTCAAATAATCAAAGAATATTGTCATTATTGAGTACAATGTGAAAACTTACTTTTCACAGGGTGTCATGTTGTCCGCGTGCGTCTATATATGATACCGCCGCCAGCACCGCCACAACACAAATAATATTAACATAGCAAGGGCAAGCACACATTTAAAGATAACATAAGACATAAGACATACTACACAATTAATAATAATTATTATAATGAAAAGTAAGTGAATACATGAATAATATACCCAGCTCTCCCCTTGAATTTATTAAATCTCACACAGAGTCGAAATAATAATAATAATAATAATGGTAATAAATATATAATTATTCACACGAGTAAATTTGCATTCTACACATAACATCAAAATACAGATAACTTTGTCTTGTCCTTTCTATGATTCTGCTCACTGACAATATTCTTCTGCTGGGATCGCAAATTGGTGAGTTCCGCTTGTTTATCATTGTACTGTATAACAATATTATTATAAGGGATACTTCCCTTGGCATGTTTTCTCAGTGAATTCATGAGGAGTAATGACTCTCTCTCGAGTTTGGTGATGTTCTCACCGACTTGGAAATTAGCAACGTTCAATCCTCGATTTGTCGCTGCTCTAAATGAATTTTTGCATTTCGAGCTGCTGCTGGCTTCACTCGTTTCTCCATCTAAAATATAACGAGAAAGAGAGAAACACTTGACATTTCGAAAGCGGATAAACAAATTTTAATGGATAAAATATATTATTAATTTTATTACGTTTATCTGAAAGTGAATTATTGATAAAATCAAAAATATCCTTTCCCCTTTGCTTCTTCTCCCTATTGTCAGACTGCTTGGCAAATTGTTGATCGATTTTGTGTTTCTGCTTTAACAATCTTCGTTCGACGGTAAATAAGTTGTTATCGCCAGCTGCGTTCTCTCTTAACTCCATACAATGATCGAGTGATTTGCCTGGTGGTAATACAGTAGCTTCAACAGGCTCAACCCTCCCATCAGCTCTTTTTCCCAAACCAGTCCCCAATATATAGCCCATTTGAAGCATTAATTTACTTCCAATGCCACGTGTATGTTCCTCCCATTTGCCCAAAGGCTCATTGTAGTTCAATGTCAACAAAGATTGCTCAATCATTATGTCTTCCTTTGTTTTGTCTATCGATAGATTGAAACCTTTGGTCGAGTCATCATCGAGATCGTCGTCAGACGAGTCTGACATGTCCAGTTGATCATCAGTGAGTGGTACAAGATCAGCAAGTGTGACTTCTATTATATTTCCACTGGCCTCGAATTTTACTCGGTAGAGATCGTGATCTTTTGATGGGGTTTTTAAAATCACAGATCTGTGCCATATATTGTTCTTTTCTTTTGCCAGTACTCGACTTGCCATTTTTATTGAAGAATAATCGGGTTCTCTGAAATAAAATCAATAGATGATAAAATGCAATAATCATAAGACGATTTAGGGGGGGTTGTACCTGTACTCTTGTAAACTGGAAAAAGCAACTTTTTCCCCATGTGAGTAATGACACTTTTCATCAGAGAATTTGCATTTACCATCTAAATAATATGCACATGGTAGCATTTCCTTATGAGTTGGGTTGATGAATAATACTTTTACCTGATAAACAATCATCAATTGAATAAATTTATCAGTGAAAAAAATTTCAAGTATTTCAATGCGTTATAAATGAAAAACCTCACCTGGATATCATTAATACTGTTGATAGTAGGCTGCTCATCATTTTGGAGGACAGAGGACACCATAGCATTGTGATAACCCGTACCACCCCAACTCCTTCCAAAGGGCGCTCTACATTTCATACCTTCGAGTGACTTGAGTTCTTCCTACAATTATTCAACTTGCACGGTATTAATTGTTCTCTTCTAAGCATTAGGTGATATTTGCTTACTGACATCAATATTATTGTCATTATTTGGAGCTTGATATTTTCCATTATCATGAGTAGTTGTGTTATTAAATCCATCATCCCTCAGTTCTGCCTGATGAAGTAATAAAAAATTATTGCTCTTACTATACTTATTTTTATTCAGTTATATTTTTCACAAACTTGGCTAATTATAATTACCTTGAACATGGCGTATTCCTTTGCCATCGGATCATCATCATCATCATTGTCCTGGCTGTCGTCAGACAAACCATCGTCCTCATTGTCACTTGTTTCTTTTCCCTCAGCACTTCGTAAACTCTCTTTTGTCAAGGCTATTAATTCTTGTATATCCGACTGAAGACTCTGTAAATTATCTCTGTCTGCTCCTGCTGTGCTCCCTGATAAGGCCAATTGAACTTGGGACAGCTGAAATACATAGTTATAGTTGAACAGCAATATCCTATGTATTTATAATAAAATATTTTCAATGTAAATATACCTGGCTCTCGTACTGTTCAATAGCGGCTCGCAAACTGTCGACGTCTGTCATTATTTGTTATAAGCCTGCTTCTATTATTACTGATGAAGCTCAATCAATCATTTGTTAAAGCGAACACACTCAATTTTATTGACTGTAAATATGATGATGATGATTATGATTAATAATAAATACTACAAGTAATCAGATGGGAGAAAGATCTCTGCACTGCACCATTGCACCACTGTGTGACTGCACTTGTGAAGAATTCGCCTCTGTATATTGGAGTAGTGATTGCACTTTAATCCAACAGATGTCTCTTAATGTACGTCGTCCAAGCCAACAGGATCATGAAACTAAAATTAGTTGACACAATGATTTCTCAGTGCAGTTTCCAAAAAAAAAAAAAAAAAAAAAAAGAGTTGGAATGATGAGAATATATCCGCAAATGGATGACTCATGACAACTCAACTAAAATAAACAAAGGCACGCGAAAAAAATGTGAGCCAGGTGAAAAACTCTCTTCACTCAGACCAATCTTTTATCTTTTATATTCCTCTCTATATAACTATCGATATAATAACTAAATCAATTGCATTTACCTGAAAGTGATGACAAATGCCAATGCAAATTTAAAATCATGGACACCAGCGGTCTCGGCCAAGCATCCAGATAATATCGTGTCCTCAGAATTTACAACAGCCAAAATATTCCGGCCATCTTACGAAAAGTTATTAATTTTTATTGATTATCAAAATTGCTATACGATAACATATGATGGCTAAATTACAGGGAAGAGCCCTGTATGGAGCAACTAATGGCTAATGAATATCAAAGAATGTGGCTGACGGAAAGAGATGAATGGCTGAGCAAAACTATTCTTTCGAATGAAGAGAAAAAAAAACGTCGACAGAAAGGTGCTAATAGCCATAGGACTTTAAATGTAAGTTATTTAAGTATATGTATGTTGATTCATATTTTCGGCTATTAAGAACAATCCATTCATTGTTCTAATCTAATTAGACGAACGACAAATCGAAAAGAACAGTGATGGTGGATAGAATAACAATGTCCGCCGGCAACGATTCCCAACCGACTCATTCAAAACGTGAAGAAAGGCCATAAAAAAAATGATCATCGAATCGATACAAACCTATAGTGAATATAAATGTCAATGAAAATAAGGCAATAATTCTCCAATATTTCAATCAAACTTCAAGTTCAACAAGAGCACAAACAAAATTATTAAACAATTTTACAACCTTCTGATATGAAAATGACTTTCGAATCAAGACACACCTCTCCAACTCTTATCCAACAAAATTTTACAGGCGCGGCGGCGGCGGCGGCGGCGGCGGCTGACTAGCCATTCCATACAGTAAAATCCAGCGATTCAAAGCGAAATTAATTCAGCCATAATGTACTCAAGAATGTCCGAAAGCCCGGAAACGGTTTTATGAGCGATAATACTCTGGCTTTTTTTTTCTCTTCTCCTTCATAATCAAATGATTGGGCTGTTTAAATTCCATTAGAATAGGGGGTAGGGGGAAGAAACACTCACTCTTAAAAAACCGCCGAATAAAGCAAGTTATGCTGCAGCTCATTCATCCCACTGACTGAGATAGTTTATCATCCGCGTCATAAAAATTATCCACTCTATTATTATCTAATTGCTTGACCAAAACAGAAAATCATGTTCAGCATTCTAATGAAATCTGATGAATGAGTCAAAGCGGAGCGGCGGGTTGAAAAAAAAAAGAAAAGTTGATAAATAATGAGAGCCTTTATTAGATCATTTAAGAAATATCATAAAAACCCTCTTACTTATAGATTTTATAGTCAATATAATATACCGTAAAAACATTAAAATGTGAGAATGTCACCTTATGGCCGGTATTCAGTGATTGTGTAGTCCATTGCTGGAGGGTTCAAGCACAAGATCTGAATAAAGTGAAGTTAATGTCAATTTATTATTTATTATTAATTGAACATCTCTTGAAGTGGGTTCTCATGTTGCTGCTCTGGGAAAAGGCCAGTGAACAGTTGGGACAAGAGTAGGGTTTAATGCCAGCGTGATAGTTGAGGTGGGTTTTTAAATGATGCTTTTTGGTGAATGCCTTTGAGCAAATGTGACATTGGTATGGTTTCAATCCAGAGTGGAGTCTTGTGTGAAGTCTCATGTTGGATCGATCAGCGAAGGCTTTTTGACATATGTCACACTGATATGGTCTCTCGCCCGTGTGAGTTCTCAAATGTTGTTTGAGCAAGATATTTCGTGAAAAAGCTTTGCCACATTGATCACATCGGTGGGGCTTGACGCCACTGTGGATCTTTACGTGCATATTGTATGCTACGCGCTGATTGAAGCTCTTGCCGCACTCACCGCAGCTGTACTCCTTTCTATTGTTGTGTATCTTCATGTGTGAGCCCAAGTAGCCTCGGTCATTGAAGCTCTTTCCACATTCGGGACAGGTGGCGGAAAATTCTCCTGTTCCCTCGTGAATACTTGTGTGATATTTGTAATTTCGTAGCTGGGAGAATCCTTTTCCACAGAGTTTACAGCGGAATAGCTTAATATTCTCCTGCTCCCCTGCTGACAATGAGTGCAGCATCAGGCGTGGGTGAACCTTTTTCGTTGCAATGTGGAAATTTAATTTAATAGTAGTGCCAAGAGTTATTAGGGAATATCTCAAAAAGTTATTATTCATCACTATCCGCGCTTACCTTTAATGATGCTCGAGTTGTAAAATTCTTGTCACAAATTTGACATCTCAGTTGGTTTCTCGCCGAGTTGGAATCATCACTATATTCAATTGATGGCATGTTGATTTTTCTATTCGATGACATAGACGCCGGCGGTGCTGGCTCACCCGCCACCAGCAAGGTCATTAATGATACATCATCTTCATCTCGTGGCCCATCAGCATTGATAATTTTCTGGCACACTGCTGCAGGGGAAGAAGAAGTTGCAGTGGTTGTTTGAGGCGGGCACACTTCAGCAGTTGGCACAACTGTTTGAATATGTGATGCCAAGGAAGAATATGGTAGCCCAATACTGCTCCTGCTCTCATCCGTAGGTAGCTTATTATTAATTAGTTTTTCAAGTTGTAGGGATTCTACATCTTGTGTCTAAAAATATAAAGATATTTCAGTTTACCTAAGCTCTCGATAGATTAATTTTTAAATTTTCTTATCTTCGTCTTCACTCATAATTCTAGCGTCTACTCTAACGGTATTGGGTCGCCTGCTTCATCACTTGGGATTTCCACAATCCTCCTGCTATTATTATCGTAAAATTCAATGTGCGGTTTAACCTACTGTTATTTTTCAATAAAAATCCGATTCATGTTTATTTTAGAGGAGTAAAAAGGAGTAGTAAGTTTTGATAAGTATTTACGTGTGTATGTAAAATTTTATGGAATTTTAACAACGATAATAACCTTAGCTTGGGTTAATGATGATTGAAAAAATTTTTTGTCACCTTACCATATCATGCTATTTAGTATTTAGTATTTCACCATTGCGCATATATTATACACAATAATAATCCAAATGAAAATACAATTGGGTTGCGCGTCTGTTTTCTGTTTTTTGTTTTCTCTACTCACCTGAATGGTATCTTCACTTGGAGTTTTATTGTTGTTTTTCAGGATAATAATTGGTTGGCTTTGGGACAAATGGTGTGGTTGTAGCATCTGACACCATGGTGAAGCCGAGACGCGATTTGCCACATAAAGTCGTGGTCGCCTTTCATCTCTCAATCCATGACTTGAAGTCGTTTTTTTTTGTTTTTTTTCCAAATTTAAACAATTATTTTCATATAGTAACTGTTCCCCCGCCGAGCCTGATGACATCCGATAGAAAATCCCGCCCCGAAAATATTCTTTTTCATTAAATTTCTTGTTGTTGATGGTCATGTTAATTCCAATATCATGATAATATTTTTCCCATTTTCTTGTTTCACTTGGAAGCGGTGGTATTTTGATATTGAGAAATTGTGCGGTACTCGAGAATGCCTCTAATCTGTCTCCCGATACTGCAGTATATCCCGTGTAAATAAATCCCAATACAGCTGCCAAATCATTGCCCTCTAGGTCAGGAAGAATTACAGTAATTGGTTCATAAAGGCAAGTTGTATTTTCGTGCGCCGACAAGACCCTCTGAAATATATTTATAGCTTTAGAGCTTTAGATAACATTTTTAATATCAGAATAATAGTCTTTGCTGAAAAAGTTAAAAACACGTTGCTAATAATAAGACAGAACCTTTATTGGAGATTATCTAATTTCTGCTCTTAATTATTTAGTGATGATGCTTACTTACCTCAAGGTAAGGACTAGCTGCGGATAACACTAGGCGATGAGCAGAGAATTTTTGTCCTCCTGTACAACAAAGGATCACGTCTGCATATGTTTGGGAGATGATAGCATCTTTCAGCATCTCACTCACATTGGCTAAACCACGCGACAAATTGACCACTTCTCTTACACTCATTGTTATTGTAATGATTTCTTGAGCAATTTATTACTTTAATCTCTAGACAAAAAATTCATCTCATTACTTTTTAAATGTCTTTTAAACGATCAAGACACTAGTAATAATTGTATAGCAATATATATTGTATTATCTCATTGATATGTCATTGATTGGAGACATTGAGGAGTTATCTGGTATGTTGAAAATGATGTTACCACTGAGTTGTCAGGATGATGACTGCCCCCCAGTACCCACGATTCAGGAAACAACAACATCACTTGCAAGACCCTCCCTCCCTCTACCAATCCCTTTTCTTAAATCTTGATGCGCGGCGCCTCCTCGGCCTTCTTCTTCTCCTCCTCCTCCACCTCATAGGAAATCGTATTCGGGCTTTGGATCATATTCACGGTTATGAGAGTAGGGGTGCGAAGGGGAGGGGAGAGTCACCTGGATGTACACGTACACTAATGTTAAATGCAATGGTTACCTCCTGTTTGTTCTCCAAATAAGAATAAGCAAGGCCCACAGTTGGTGATTTCGATTTGAGAAGAGACTATATGCATCACAGCTCTGCACAAAGTCTATTGCATTAGACACACACGTTAGGCCTACAGTTTATTTATATTAACAATAATATACCATATATATGCTTGAGACATGTAGTCATGTTTGTCATCGGGTATTATAGCAATAAATAAAGAGTAAAAATGTTTAAAGCAATGTTTTGAAAGAGTTTGAGCGAAGCGTAGTATATTGAAACCACTCGTCGTGTGACATATTGCTCATTGGGTAAATATTATTTTGTGCGTGTTCATCATGTACATAGTACCGTTTTACCTACATGTTCTTACATGTCTGTTTGCTCAATCATTTGTTATTCTCCTTACTATTTACTTCATCTCCTATCATTTCATTCCATTTGTGTGAGGTCAATACTCTCTACCATGTGGTCACGTGAATTTTTTTGTGGTTTTAGTGGTTGCTACTAAGTGGAACTTGATTTAATCAAATTAATGATTCATACCAAGACAAAGTTTTAGTTTTTAGTTTAATTATTCTCATATGCACGTATGTCAACCACTTTAGAATTTACGTTTATATCCGCGCGTTTAGATTTTTGTCAACTATTTCTTTGTTCTCTGTGTATTTTAAGCACTTGAACATTAACGAGCCTCCTCGTTGGCTTATCTAATTAACATTAATTAAAACACACATGGCTGGATTATTTGAGCAATGCCCTGTACGCGAAGGATTCCCCTCAACGGACAGGGAGTCATTGCAGTCTAAAAAAAATTAATCATACCGGGGGTCATGATGCCAAATCATCAGTAATGCTTGGTAGATTTTTTTTTTGTTTCACCGCACCACAGTTGGACTCAATACCAACTCAAGAGGTCGGAGTTAGGTATAATCATTTTGAAATCAACTGTTAGCACGCGACCCATACATAATCTCCATCAGTGTTGCAATTGATTTTCCAGTAAATCTACACGTGTAATAATATTCCCATACCAATAAGTAAGGGCGGCTTTCTCTACATATATAGTATCCACTATGCCTTGACATTTTCCATTTAATTCTAGTTGGTTAAAATAAAATGATAATTATTTTGATTTCATATATTATTGTTTTGGAGATTTACAAAATATTGCACGTGTGAGAGATGACATTTTGGATTTGTCTCAGATACGAATCTCATTTTTTAAATTCTCTCTTTTCTTCCGCATTGTGAATGTACCTGACCTCCCCGGGTTGATTGGCCGCTTCTGTCGTGTGGCACTTTTCTCTTTCTCTCTCCCTCTCCCTCCCAGAGATCCCTGAAAAAATAATATTGTACTGTACTGTAGGTACTCTGCGTGTGTACTCAGAGGACACGAAATTGCATACTTTTTAAGGGAATCTTCTGGGTTAAAAAACAAATTAACTTGTATAATGTTGGACCCTGCATGAATTTCGAATCGTATTCGAATAATCTTTTTTTTTCTGCATAACGGTTGTTATTTCTGAGAGTGACGAAGTTGATGTCGATAATGTTCATCTTTATGTTATATGTTTACGAATTGAACATTTTCCATGAATGATATTGACTACAGGAGATAGTACGCGGTACTCCGTGGGTGTATATAATAGTCTTGTATCTCGGACTCTAGTAGGTGATGTTCGTGTCATTCATGAATTTTGGTCGAGAATTAAAGGCCTCTCTATATGCTGCTGATACTGCTGCTTTCTATTCATAGTCGTTGAATTAAAGATAAAATATTTAAAAAATGGGCAATGAATCAATCGTACTATTGCGTTTTCTTTTCCCTTACTTTTTTTTTTTTTTTTTTCAAGAAATTTACATGGCCTTTCAAGAAAACAATTATAAATACACACACACACACACACCACACACACAAAGAGGCATCAACAACGACATCTTACGTACACTTTCTATATTTCTAACAACACAGTAAATATCAGACTGAAACCTTTTTGTGATTGTGTGCTATCTGATCGAGATATCCTATTTATTATAAATACAACAACAAAAAGATCATCAAATAACGAAATAAAAGAGAAAAAAATGATTGATAAAAGCAATGAGCCAATGGCAATAATTTCGCAAGCTAGCATAGCTGAAATTATTAGGAAATTGGATAATGACGAAGTAAGTCGGACGAAACAAACGTACATAACCATAAATAATAATAATAAATTTTTTTCACTCACACACTCACTGTAGATTCGCGTGAATGAAGAATTAGAGCTGATGCTTCAGAGACACTGCCACGTGGAGGTCAAACTCCGGAACATTAGCAAGATCCTTCCCAGCATGAACCTGATACGAGAGGAGGGTGAAAAGTTTAGGACAATGATTGATAAAACACACTCACTAGCTGAAACGGTCAGCGCTAAAGTCAGACAGCTGGATTTAGCAAGGGTATGTTGTGATGATTTAAAAAAGTTGCTCATCAGGAGAAATGTGGAAAAAAAATAATAGTAGAATTATAATAAAAATGAAAAATTGCTTGTAGAGCAGAGTATGCGAATGTCAGAGCAGAGTTCATGACATCCTTGATCTTCAGCTATGTAGTGAGGGTGTTGCGACTGCCTTGAAAAATGAAGACTACGAACAGGGAGCCGGACACGTTCGTAGATATCTCCTGATGGACGAGAAACTCCTAGAAAGAACAGCAGCCGATGATGATGATGATGTCTCTGGTGGTGAACGAATGAGTATAGCTGGTTCTTTATCGACCCTTAAAGAAGCAGCGTTACAACTTGGAAGCGTAGTGAGTCGAAAGTTCGACGAGGCTGTGAGATGTGAGGATCTTGCCTCAGTGGAACGTTTCTTCAAGATTTTCCCTCTCCTCGGTATGCATGACGAGGGCCTTGAAAAATTTAGCCTCTATTTGTCATCAAAATTAGAGGAGACTGGAGGGAAAAATCTCCGCTTAGCATTAGAAATAAAATGTAATGATGATCGTGCTCCAGTGATTTATGCTGATACAATGACCTTGTTGTTTGAAGGAATAGCCAGAATAATAGAAGTTCATCAGCCAATAATAGAGACTTACTATGGTCCTGGTAGACTATTAAAAATTCTACAAATGATTCAGAAAGAATGTGATAAACAGATGAAGCGAATCTTTGGCGAATTTATGAAAAATCGAAGCATCCACAATAAAGTCCAATCAATAAATGATTATAATCGTATTAAGCCCTCAACAAGTGATAATAAAAATGATAAACCAGATCCAAAATTTCTGGACCTCCTTCTAGGAGAACTAACTTTAATGCACACCAGAGCCGAATTGTATATAAAATTTCTACGCAGACGGATAATAAATGACATTGAAATAGGAAGCCAAGATGATGAGCAACGTCAACAGCAGATTAATGAATTTGAGAGAATGATTAAAAATTCGGAATTATGTCATATTATGCAGGAGATATTGGGGGCTTATCTGGCACTTGAGAGATATTTTCTCGAGGAGTCTGTCAATAAAGCCTTGGGGATGGACATTTTGGAACAGGATCAGCAGACTTCAAGTATGGTGGATGATGTATTTTATATTGTCAAGAAATGCATAAGGCGTGCCATCTTTAGCTGGAGTATTGATGGTATTTGTGCAGTTGTCAATATGTCATGTGGTATATTAGAGGGTGATTACACAAATCGTCTGAAGAATCGTCTCCGTCAAGGCTATCCAGCGGGTTATTTAGATCTAGCTCAAGCTTATAATGCACTCCAAACGAGTATTCAGCAGGGTCGTTTGCAAGCCTCGGACACGGAGTATGGAAGATTGATGTTTCTAGCCTATTTAAATAATGCTGATGTCAGTATTGAATATGTTGAAACATTAAGTAAGAGTTTAGCTATTGAAATAGACTCGGCATTTATTCACATGCCGCACAAAGATAGAGGTAAAATTGAGAGTTGTCTAGCTGAAATGAAAAATGTCACTAGTACATTGAGATCAGTAATTGATTATGGAATGGAGCAATTGAGAGCCAGTGCTGTCAAGCCCAGAGTTACTCCCTGGGTTGATTCCTTCCTCTCAGTGAATCATCAGATCAATGAGGACCAACTCCTGAGATACGAGACCGACGAGCCTTTTGTCCAAACATTAGTAATGAATCTAGAGGGGCTTTTGCAAGGCTTTAAAGACAGTCTGACTCCATCAAACTATGATGCACTAGTTGGTATTCTAACATCAGAGGTGACAATTAGATTGGAAAAAATTGTCCTTAAGTCGACCTTTAATAGAGCTGGAGGTTTAATATTGGATAAAGAAATAAGATCACTTGCAAGTTATTTAGCCTCAGCAACTTCATGGTCGGTGAGGGATAAATTTGCAAGGCTTGTGCAAATTGCTACCATCCTCAGTATTGAAAAGGTGGACGAGTTGATTGATTATTGTGGGGCTGATGCTATAGTTTGGCGTTTAACTCCAGTCGAGGTCCGCAAAATTGCCGCTCTCAGAACTGATTTTCGTTCTGACGACATTAAACGCCTTAAATTGTAATAGTCCATTTAATTGTTATTTTATATTGTAAATTTATTATAAATCTGTAGAATTATAATTCCTAAGTCAGATATTCAGCATAAGTACAAATTGTGTTTTTTTTTATTTACCCTTTAACACGAATATAAATTAACGTAAAAACCCTTACATATCAACATTGGCGCAACTTATTCATTATGCATTCTGAATATCGACTGATATATCGATATTGCGGATTGTTTAATTGCATTTTTATTTCATACAGAGAGAGAGAGAGAGAGAGAGAGAGAGGGGGAGAGAGAAAGGGAAAGTTGAGAGAGAATAATTCTCCGTGGCAAATGCAATAAATCGTTACGTTCCGAGATTTTTTAGTTCTATTTCTCACTTTATCGTTTCGATATACTTTTTTTTTCTAATCAAGTATAATAATCTTGATTCATGAATATTTTATTATATTCTACTTGTCATCACTTATGCACACATTTGTTAATTGGTGAATAAAACATATGACAATAAAAATAATAATAAAGTCTGCTTGAATATTTATCTGAAATTGTTTCTTATAAAAATATATACAGATGGAGAAAGGATTTCTTAATCAAGACCATTTCGTCTGAGGATTAATTCATAATTTTTTTCTATTTATATCTATACATTCATTGAAAAATAATATTTTTGTTGAAAAGAGTAATTAAAATTTGTGAGATGCAACTTTAAAGTTGCATAATTTTACAAATACATGAAAATTCAATAAGACTCAAAAGCCTCGAGACGAAATGGACGAATCTCATCTATCTCGTACAATGAGTTTTGTTCATTACAATGCATTAGTCTCTTTCGCGCCAATTGAATCGCAGAACATTTATTAATTATAAATTGTCAATAGAAACTTGTGATGCCAATATAAAGTTTAAAAAATTGACTAAAACATGTGTACTTTCTATAATAAAAAGCAAATAATTCAATTATATGTTCATTACAATATTAAAAATAATAATAATAATAATAATAATAATAATAAAAAGCTGATCAGTTGGCGTGAATGCACTTCACTTATGGACGATTAGTATCACTGACATGAATTATCGCAGCCGCGGATCTCATTAGCATTAATTTTTTTCGTTTACTTCACTAGAATTGGTAATAAGTTGAATCACTTTTGTCGGCAGACAATGATTGTAGAGTCTTGTCTCTGGGCAATAGCTCACACTTGTTCTACTTTTTTTTCAATGATGGAATGTCGATGTATTTCTTTTGTAGTAATACGATTATTAATTATATTTTAAAATAAGATTTAAAAAAAAAAGAGATTTGGCATTTTAGGAGAGAATGGCGATGCTACGCCTCGGACCACCCATGCACACATTGTCGAGACTCGACCATTTTTTAATTCCGTTTCGTAGTACCTCAGTTGTTACTTTGTCTTCATAAATACGCGACATTGCTTCAAGTTTTTGGGCTTTGTCTTTGCTCAGTGGTTCACTGGGAAATGTCAATTCATTAGCCTCGGCCAGGGTACGAAGGTCAAAGTAGTATTTAGCATACACACTAGATGGTACATTGATGTTGAACTGAAGCATTTCGAGGAATTGTCTCTCAAGCTCATTCCTGAAATTGTAGATATGTCCATTAAAGACTAGTATAAATTAATTTTTTCGCGCAAAGAATGGAAAAAAAAAAAAAAAAAAGACTGGATGACACTCACATATCCTCAACTGTGATATCCTTGAGAATTTGACAATAATCAACATTCCACACGGCCTGATCGTCCCATACTTTAGAGGCCAGGAGAATTGCACCAAGGACGATCCGCTTCCAATTGGCAGGTGTTATATCAATCTCAGCATACGTTAATAAACGCTCGAGGTATACCAGAGTTATAATAGCACACTCAGCAGTTAATTGTGCGGCATTGAAAAGAGTCCTTACGAATTTGTAGATCTGCTTGTGTTCGGGATTGTGCTTGTCGTAGTCGTCTGCAATGCCATCTCTCTGAAGTATTGAAGTGTCATTGAAATCAATTAATAGTCAATAAAATGACATAGCCAAATTAACTTTTATGAGCATAAGAGAGACAAACAAAAAAAAAAACAAATAATAATATTAATAATAATAATGACTCACAGTTAATGGATGAACTTTCTCATCAAAAATATCAATCTGCCTTTGAGAAGTTCGATTTTTAATATGATAATAAATAGCAAGAGCCACACATTTAACGGTATTCTTCAAATTTGGCTGGGATACAGTGCTGTCGTCCAAATAGATGGTACTACAGCTGCTACTTTTCTTGAGAGGTCTCGTATCCGTTAATTGGTGCTGGCTCTTCTTTCTCACCATCCCATCTGAGAAAGCCCATGAAAAAAAAAATGATTGATCGTAATTTTGCCCATTTTGAGGGGACTTTTTTTTACTTTGTCGAAAAAATATCTTTTGACCTTATTTTATTAATAAAACCACGCCTTACCACCGATCGGTTAATGGAAAAATAATTGGAATTTGAAAAATTTTTAATAATTAAAAATTACTGACTTTCTATAGCTTGCTTCGATCTCTCCATAAAAATGGTTCCAGCACATGGATGCAGCGAAGGATCAGAATCCCAGTCCTCCGGTTCTCTCTCACTGATGTGCTGCAAATTTGTTACACTAAATTCCCCTTCTGGAAGATGCTCCTCCAATCCTCTGGCGCCTCCATCACTTGCCAGTTCTTTTCTCCTCCGATGCTGTGGACTCGAGTATCCACAACAGCTATTTTTATTTCCCATTCTTCCCTGTGATAACCAGAGACCAATAATAAATCCTCCAATTATCCAGGTAAATGTTAGGAGTTGTAGTTGTAGTAGGCCTCGTGTAGTTGTTTGTCTTGTGAGGTTCACACGGAGTTGAATAACAATGGGGTGTTGATTATTCTAAAGTTGTCGACGTGTGAAAGAAATGTAGTAAATGACCAATTATTTTCACATGTCGTATGAATTCTTCTGATCAGCTGATTGATACATTCCTATTGTACAATATGCACAGGGCCATTCTGCTATTCATCACCATAGCCTTCCTAATCATACCTCTGCGCCTCTTGTCCACTTGTTTCTCAACAACTTTGATGATTTGTTAGAAAAATCAACTCTAATGAATTTGCACTTGAATCCGATGAGCAACACTATGACCTCCAACTGTATTCCAAAACAAATTCAGTAATGGCTTGGATATCTATATCCATAGGTAAAAATATCATAACTCCACTTGATTTCCAAATCTAATTGTTGGATTATCATCAATTGTATATATATATATATATTTTATTCAGCAACAAATAATCTCTTTGACCGCTTACTCACCGCGGCCTATGGAGCTCACTCATTCTCTTTTTCTCACTTGTTGGGCTCAATTACCCATCAATTTTGATTCTTCTTCTTCCATAATTTTCACCCTCTCCAAGACCATCACGAGACATGCAAAATAATATACTCTACTATCCGCCATGATCCTGGTCGACATATATGTCTACATATATATATGTATATATATATATATATATATGAATTTTTTTCTTTTCAAACTTTATTTAAAATTATTATTATTATTATTACATTTGGGTAACGAAAAAATGAGCAACGAAAATATCGAAACTGACATGTAGCCTCAAAGAGCTATGTATTGAATTATCGGTACAATCCACATTGCTATCTGCATTTTACTCGAGAATTGGACAGAGCACACCATGCATTCAGTAAGTGTCGCTGGTGGTCGGTGGGTCGTGTTGGGGGCATATATTTTCACGCAAATGCACACACACACACACACACGCGCACTATAATTTTGGAGAGCAACGTCAGAAGAAAAATTACATGAAAACTCGCCTTTTATAATAACCAGTGACATCTCGAGCCGAGGAGGCGCAATAGAAATTGTACATAGTATATCCAGCCAGCCCAGACCCGAATGGAGAATAAAAAGAGATACAACACTCAACACTCCAGTTTGCATTAAATTGTGATACCAGTTACCAGTTAACATTTTTGTGATGACTACATTTTATTGAAAATAAGACATTTCAAAGTTCAATAGATCATTCGGGAGTGCATCCAAAAGATAGATTGGTCACAGGAGAACCGAATACGACAGAAAAAAGGGTAAATTGACAAGTGATGTCAGGACGAGTGAGCGAAATCGGGTTATCCCAAAAAACAAAAAGCCAATTAATCTGTTGTTGTTTATTCAATTATATTGAAGAAATAATAATGTGTATTTCCTAGTGTGTGAAATTATATTATATTAGTCAGAGAAAAAATGACGTGTAGAACAGGAAGAGAGAGAGAGAGAGAGAGAGAGAGAGAGAGAGAGAGTCCATCGTACAGTGGGTACAGTGTTATATGTCGGCCATGTTAGCAGGGATGGGAGGGTGCGCTGTTTGAAACGAAAAACTAAAAAAGAGAGAAAAAAAGAGGTGGATGAGGATGATGAGGAGGATGAGGAGGAGGAGGTGGAGGAGGGGGAGGAAGGTGGCGGCAGCGGCGGTGGCGGTGTGGAGAAACTAGTGCTGATCAAGAAAGAGGGGTAGATAGGAGGAGGGTTCTTGGTGTCGTGGAACGTTTCACGATATTATTTCGTTGTTTTTTTTCCGATTAAGATTATTCTGCAACTCCAGAATTTATTCAACCCCTTCTCCAGAAACATACCATCGCGTAATCATTTTCAATCATACGGTAACGTCAGAGGCGTCCGAGTGCATTCCATGTCACATCAGTGTTAATTATTGTACACTGAAGATATTACAAATCACAAAGGGAGAGGGGAAAAATTCAGATTCATGACAAAAACCCAACAATCAAGCGGAAATACATAGTAGAAATTTAAAAAGACATTGAGCCGTTGGGGTTTGACCGACAGTGACAACAAGAGACAACAAGAATTCTTGTTTGTGTTTAGGATCACTTCAAGTGTCTTGCTTTTTTGAGTGCGTCTCTGTGTGAGTCCACAACATGTTTTTTTCTTACTAATTTTTCATTGAGAAAAAAAAATTGAAAGACTTGTAATAATTAATAAGTTAGTCAAATGTTCTATCCGTATTGTCACGCACAAGTGGCTATCATGCTAAGCATGAGTCACACGACTCTGTGTCTCCTTTGGCTTTTTTATTTTCTTTTTTCCTAGTTCCATTTTCCAGTTGAACCTTTATCAACGTCACAACTATTTCATGTTTGCGTGGAGATTAATCCCCACTCCACTCCGTTATGTCAGTTGTGTAGATGGTGTACATATTCAATCAGGGGCTCCCCAAAGAGTCAGCCAGCCAGCCAGCCAGCCAACCAGCCAACCAACCCCCCCCCCCCCCCC